GCCGACACGTACATCGAGCTCTCATTGTAGCCACCCCCACGCAATGCTCCGGCCCGCGTGATCGCGCACAAACGGGCAAGCGCAGCTCCACAGCACATCTCCACTGGTTGTCGTGCACTAGCTCCCCTCCTTCTTCACCTTCTCCTCCGCGGCGCGTTTGTCAGCCATCGAGTCGTACCCCACCCCACGCTCTGTCAAGGGAGGGCGGCGGGCTCAGCATCGGGAGCGCGGTGCGTGGGCGGACGGCAGAGGCGAGAAAAGCGTACTCGATGCCGTGAACGCGCCGGCGACTCCGACGACCGTGCAGACGCCCAGAAAGACGCGCGCGTTCTCGCCGACGGGCAGCGCCAGCAGTGCGCGCTCGAAGAGCCCCCGGGAAGCCCGCACTGTCGACATGGACCTCGCCGACTTTAACCGGGCGCCTCGCGGGGGCGTTCTCGGAACCCACCGCTGGGTTCCGGCTCCTAGCCAGATAGGGGGTCTGCCCATGACTCGCGCCAAGACGCCCTACCTACCTACCTACCCCCAGGCCGCGCAGCGAAGCGAAAAAAGACGAAAATAGGGGGTACCTACCTGTTGCAGGGCCCTCTGGGGCGGTCAAAACCGGACCTACCTACGGTTACTGGACCGTGTTCAACGACGTTGAACATTGTTCAACGTCGTTGAACACTACTTAGGAATGGCCGTAGCTCCTCTCCACGAGCGATTGAGAAGACGTACCACGTGTCGATTCTGTATAGAATTGCAAGGCGCACACGCTGGTGCAGGCGGGGAGTCGTCGATCCGACTCGTTCCGACGTGAAGTCGCCGTGAAGGATTGGCATCGCAGGCGCTCCGCGCCTGCAGATTTTGAAATAAATTCGACAAAATTGGTACCTGGCCCAACCGAATCGTAGCCGAGCTCTCCGCCAGCGCCTCCGCCACTAGCGCCGTCGCCGCCGCCGTCACCGTCGAGTACTCGAGTCTCGCTTCCGTCATCGAGAGTGACAACTCACATCGCACAGCCAGTGCTTCACACTTCAGCTTTCATAGCTTTACCTCCGGCTCCGCGCCACGCCTCGCCTCCGTCAAGGGCGACCTCGGCCTGCGCCCTCGCGCCCGCGCCTTTTCCGGCTCCGCGCCGCGCCTCGCCTCCGTCAAGGGCGACCTCGGCTTGCGCCCTCGCGCCCGCGCCGTCTCCGGCCTGCGCCCCTGCGCCCGCGCCTTCTCCGGCTCCGCGCCGCGCCTCGCCTCCGTCAAGGGCGACCTCGGCCTGCGCCCTCGCGCCCGCGCCGTCTCCGGCCTGCGCCCCTGCGCCCGCGCCTTCTCCGGCTCCGCGCCGCGCCTCGCCTCCGTCAAGGGCGACCTCGGCCTGCGCCCTCGCGCCCGCGCCGTCTCCGGCCTGCGCCCCTGCGCCCGCGCCTTCTCCGGCTCCGCGCTGCGCCTCGCCTCCGTCAAGGGCGACTCTCGAATGTCAACTACTCCCTCCTCGTGCCGCCTTCGGCCTTGCCCGCACAGGCGTCGCGATCTACGGTACATCCCCGACGCCTTCAGCATCGGTCCTGGGGGGGGCGTCTGAATTCGGACGCCTGTGCCACCCTCCACACACTACATACCACACACAGTGTACTAGCACGGCGCATCCTGCGCCGTGCCCCCAATGTCAATACTCGAGCTTCCTTCCTTGTGCTCAATCTTGTCACGGTCCTACGTCCCTTGCGAGCGTTTGCGTGAAGCCGAGTGTTTTGATCCTTTGCAGTCCTACATAGAGCCAGCCACCCTCCGGCTCTGACCCTCCGCGCTCAAACGATCACTACCCGTCCGCCCGCCTCTGCCGTGGCCACCGCCTTCTTGCTTGATCGACTTGTGTACACTCTCGTGAGGGCACCCTGCCCGTGTTCATCAACCGTGACCAGAACATTGTGTGGCCACGGGGTCCTCGGCCACTCGTTCGCGACGACGTCGTCCACCTCCACCCCCCACCCCACCTCGGACCATTGTCTCGTTGTTTTCGTCTGGCACACAGAGATTTTTTTCACCTTCGAGCTCCGATGTCGACTGCAAGCTCCGGCGCAGTCGTCGCCGAGGCGACGGTGCTCAACCTCTTGCCGCCGAGCAAGGTCGCGACCGGCATCTGCTTCCTCGACCACATGGTCGATCAGCTCACGTCGCACGCAATGCTCGGCGTCACGCTCCGGTGCGGCCTCGTGGGAGAGGGCGAGAGCGCGCCTCGGTTCTTCGCGCCGCTAGAGGATTACGCCCGGGAGCTCGGCGGCCAGAGGCCGCACGATCGCGACATCGCCGTCGCGTGTGGCACCGCGCTCGGCCTCGCCCTCCGCGCCGTCGTCAAAGAGGTGGAGGGCGCGGCTGGCTCGGCGGCTCGCGGCATGGCGGTCTTCTGCGCCCCGCTCGACGAGGCCTTCGCCGAGGCGAAGCTCACCCTGCACCCGCCGGCCGCCTCGTGCGGCCGCTGCCTCGTCAGCCTGGCGCCGTACGGGGCG